TTTATTTTTTCTGCCTACTCTCTATGATATCCCATCGGTTTGTTTGCTCTATTTTATTTTCTCCTTCTCTTGCTATAATAAAGATGGACCGATATCAAATAAAATAAGAAACCGGCGTAATAGCAAGGAGAGAAGATGAAAGAGAAGGAGAGCAGCACGAGCATAACTAGAGGGGGCCAACCCAGACCCCAACCCACTTCAAATTTAACAAATGCTTTAGTTTTAAGGTGGAAATTCTGTGTGAATTTTTTCCCCAAAATATTATTTGTACTGCTCCAGTCCGGCACAGTGCCCTGGTTCCACCCTTGGAGAATAGACGAGAGAAATATAAGATGATGGGCGAGAGAAGAGACAACAAATGTGAGAAATATAAAATGATGACGAAGGTAGAAAGGAGTGGACTCTAGGAAATTAAAGTTTATAGATTAGTTATTTGGTGACTTGGACTGCAACGATATATTACAAACTGATAGTTTCGCAAAGTTAGCTATTTTAACGTTTTAACAGAGCAAATGTGCTTAATCGACTTAAAAAATGCAAGTTCGTGTACTTTGTAGTTTCAAGTGTAAGATGAAGTACTACTTAGGGGGTGTTTGGATCTGATTCTCAAAACTGATTCTGCTCCTTCAGGGAGCAGAAACAGAAGCTGGAGTGTTTGGGTGAAATTCCAGAAGCACTTCTGGTGCTCTAATTTACTCTGAGAATCAGTTTTTTTAGAAACTGGTAGGTACCAGCTTCTGAAAACTGATTCAGATTCTGCTTCTGCTTTAAAAAAGAAGCAGAAGCAGAATCAGTTCCAAACACCCCCTTACTCCTCTTGAAACAACTTCATGCGTCATTTTGACCATCTTCTCTATATATTATCATGCAAATCATGGCATAAGAACAAAAATTTAGTGTTTAACAAAATGTTGGCTGATAATATTGAGGAGTTAAGAACAATTTGATTATTAAACGTTCGTAATCCGCTCCAATGATAATATCTACAACGGAGTAGTATATTTCAACTAGGAGTGCGTGCGTCTGTTTTGATTTTTTCAATCAAGTCTTTAGTGAGACGGTTCAAAAGGTGTAATTGAGAACTGAACCACAGTACTTAAAAAGGTCCCGGTCTGATCAATTTTGGCCATTGTGTATCGATTTTAGCATGTCCGTGTTAGCTTTATTGCTTCGTTCGAGCGTAGACTCTTAAGCACAACCCATAAATTGAACCACCGGGGGTTGAGTCGGCTTTGGTCAGTTTCAATTTTAATCGATTTAAGTTGGGTCGGTTTGTCAATCTGTTTCGATTTTTTCATTTTTGGGCTCAGCCCCACTCAATGTATGGTGGGCTCAAATTTAAAAGCCCAAGAATGAAATCATATCTGAACAAAATCATTACTTAGTAGTTTTACGACAAAGCCGCCCAACTTTAGATCTACAACAATGAAGTAGAGATCACGATCCTCTGTAAAAATTAGAACATCTCAACCCACAAGTGTACAATAGAGCAAAGATTTGAACATTGCAACGGTGTGATTTTGAGTATCAATGAGGGACGAATGAAGCATTTATTCAAGAGAATGAACCATGCAACCGAAGAATATAGCCCATTATAGTAAAGCTCATTTTCAGTAAATGATTCTTTAATGATAACTGATTTGAAGCTAGGTAACTGATTTGAAGCTAGGTATGCACCGGAGTTTTAATTTAAAATAAGAGTAACTAGTCCCTAAACTATCGGTATCATATCATTTTGGTCCCTGAACTAACAAATCTATCATTTTAGTCCCTAATCTATGTAATTCATATTAATTCGGTCCTTCTGTCCATATTTTGACTAAACTAACGGAATATGCTTAGTTAGTGCATGTAAATCAACATACTTATAAGACAAAATATAACTTATAAAATTCTGATTTAATATCTAAATAAATTAGAATGAAAACTACTATCAAATCATAATACAACGCGTTGTATAAAGTCATAACATAATATAATTAATACCTTTGTTCTCTTTTAAATGCAACATTGGACTTATTGCATTATTCACATGTTCTACTTTGACTCTATTTTATTTAATACGGAGTAATGTATTATAAATTAAATTTAAAAAAATGTTAAATTCCTCTCATTTTAAATTTTTCAATTGTTCTTTAATTTTTTTATTAAGAAGGAATTAAAGATATTAATGGTCAAAGTTGTGTGTTGGCAAACATGAAACTTGTGTGTTGACAAATTTTGAGAACGATACAAATATTAGTAAAAAAAAAATAGATTTTGAAATATGAAAATGAGAGGAATTTAACACTTTTTTTTAATTTATTTTATAATACATTACTCTGTATTAAATAAAATAGAGTCAAAGTAGAACATATGAATAGTGCAAAAAGTCCAATTTTCATAGTAGTTTTCATTCTAATATATTTAGATATTAAATCAGATTTTATAAGTTATATTTTGTCTTATAAGCATTTTGATTTACACATACATGCACTAACTAAGTACATTCGTTAGTTTAACGTCAAAATATAGATAGAAGGACCAAACTAATATGAATTACATAGATTAGGGACTGAAATGATAGATTTGTTAGTTCGGGGACCAAAATGATATGGAGCTGATAGTTTAAGGACTAGTTATGCATTTTACTCTTAAAATAATTTTAGGTGTTTAAACATTGCCTTATTAATTTGAAGTTGCTATTATACCTTATGTCATTTTTTTAAAGCATACTTTATGTCTTTTTATACAGGGGAAATTTGACTTTGCATCACACTTTTTTGAATGATATTGGATTTCGCATCCTATTTTCCAAAAGCTTTGATTTTGCATCTCATTCCACTTAAAACCCCTTTATCTTTGCACCTCATTCAAAAACTTTTCTTCACACAATGTTATGTGTTGGAGTGCAAAATATTTTTTTTTTTTCAAAATTGATGCAAAGTCAAATTCCATCTTTTATATATACACAATATAATCTTTTGCCATTTAATTTAATCTTTTATAATAAAACGGAAAAATCTCATCATATTAATACAATAAACTAATATTCGTTTCTCGATTAGTTCAATGGATGATTTAACTCATAGCAAAAACAGAGCCATACACAGCAAATAAAAAGCATCCCCTAGATTTTAATGTTTAAGCTAAGTCTTATTAATTTACATGGCTAAAGGGTCAAATAAATCTATGTACTTGGTATATTTCTTCAATTCAATCTCTGAACTAAAAAATGTTCATTTCGCACATCGAATCGGCAAAAAACGATTCAAATTTTAATTTTTTACAGGTGGCCCACCGGTCACCTGCCACATCGCTTGGTAAACTGATGACCTAGAATCGAAATGTTAAAATAAGTTCTTGAACATATCACGTTTGTTCAAAACACCGCCGAAATCAATAAAAGTGACAAAATTGTAATAAATCGCATATTAGAAATAGAAAAATACAAATTATAAAATAAAGTATATATAAAAATGAAAAATATATAAATACAAAGCATAAATATATTAATAAACTTTATATTCATTGTTTAAAAGATCAATGAATATAAAGTGCCCCTTAAAATGATCTTTTCCCTATATAAAAGATCTTTTCCCTATATATATATATATATATATATATATATATATATATATATATATATATATATATATATATATATATATATATATATATATATATATATATATATATATATATATATATATATATATATATATATATATATATATAGGGAAAAGATCAGGTGAGAAGTGCCCCTTAAAATGAAAAGTGAGAAGTAATCTCAGCCCTTGGATTTGCATCTGATCTTACAACGCAGTAAACTTATATACTAAATATAGGAACTTATAACCAATAAATCATAACTTATAAAGCTCTCCATAATATTTATGAAAATGCCACCGCGTCCAATTTTTTTCCAGATTTTCGTAATTATTTTTTTGCGGTGGCATTTTCGTAATTATTTTCGAGGGGTCTATAAGTTATGATTTATTGGTTAAAAGTTCCTATATTTAGTCTATAAGTTTAACTTCGCAGTTCTCAGCCTAAGATCACTTCTCACCTGATCCGCTCCCTATATATATTGAAATAACCGAAAAATATAAATATTTTTACCCTATATATTTATACTTTATCTTTATTTTTTCCGATTTAATTTGAATATGTCCTAATGTTGAACCTTTTTTAGACTTGAGGGGTTAATTGAACAAATCAAACATGTTCAAGGACTTATTTCAGCTTTTAGTTTCCAAGTCAGGTGTAGAATTGGTAACCTGAAAGGTGACGTGGCAGATGACCAGAGGGTGAAATGTAAAAAAATTAATTTTGAGCCTTTTGTGCATGTTCACGGTGTGAAATGGACCTTTTTAGCTCATGCAGTGACTGAATTGAGCAATCACGACAGGTACAATGACTTATTTGACCTTTTAGCCTATGTAAAATAATGTGCAAATTGAGTTAATGTCTAATGGGTCCTTTCTTACGGCCAAACTGGGTCAACATTCATCTTTCATGTGGAGGAATATGTTTGAGAGCCAAGATATTATTAGAAAGGGCTATTGTTGGCGAGTGGGGGACGAACGACAAATTCCTACGTATGTAACGAACGACAAACATAAGTATATAGGATTGTAGGATTGTACACAAATAATTATAGATTGAAATCAAACATAACTGAAATACAAAACTAATAGTTAGTTATGTCATCACATGACAAATAAAACCAACTTAATAGTCCATATTTGAACCGGAATAAGTCTCCCATAATTCTAAGTTGTGTCTCAACAATCGATATTGAGTCCGTATAATTGTATTGAGACCCAAAATTTTGAGTAATCAAAGTGTAAATTAATACCTAATATAATATATAATTTAACATATGGAGTACTATTTTATATAGCCAATATTTTGGGACATTACGGGACGGTTCGGGACGGTTCTCACTTAAGAACCGGTACCGTACCATATTATTAAAAAAGTTCGGTACAGTACAATATTATATTTTTGCCAGTATGCTCGGTTCTGGTACGGTTCGAGACGGTTCTGGGTATGGAACGGGAAATCCCAGATCTGTGCTCAACCCTAATGTGGCCTGTGCGGAATGGCAGAGGAAACGCCGTTGCACTTGTTTGTTCAATGCCCCGCCGTGAAGGAAGCTTGGCGGGCAATCGGTTGGTCGGTGAACGGTCAAATGATAGGCTGTTTTATGGAGTGGCTTGAGGGAGTTTTTTGGGCTAAGTCAGAGGAGCTGGGGTAGTTGCTTGGGATGCTGGGGCAAGCACAACAGAAGAGTCTGGCTCCTATATAATTTATGCTTAATGCTAAGACCTTTGTTGATGGGTGGAGGGAGGCTCAATATACGGGCAGTAAGGTAGCAGCAGCTTGCAGAGAGGGGATGTTCCAGATGGTGCAGGCTGGCAATGGGATGGCTAAAATTAAAATGTGATGCATCTGCTGGGAATGTGACTAGCGGCCTCTGGTGGGTGTTGTGTGCCAGTGCGGGAGAATTTGTGGCAGGTGGAGCAAAAGCTTGGGGGTGGCTGCACTCCATTAGAAGCTGAACTTTTGAGCATTCGAGAGGCCTTGAGTTGGTTGAAAGACCAATCGTGGGATTTTGTCAAGGTTGAATCTGATTCTTTGCTGGCTAACAACAAAATCAAGATCGAGTGGTTCAAGTTTATCGGTTAAGGGGTTATTGGCGGAGGATATTCATGACATTAGCTCGGAGTTTACTAATATTTCTTTTTCTTTTTGTAGGCGCTCAATGAATTCAGCGGCTCATAGTTTAGCTAGTTCTATGTTTGAGGGTCGGATTTGGATGTATTGTCCATCGAGCTGTATTTTGAATGCTTTGTCATCTGATTTTATTAATATGAATTAAGTTTGTTTCCTTCAAAAAAAATCTCTCCGCTCAAATTTGGTTTTGAGTAAGGAAATACTCAATAATCATACAAAGAAAGGTATTTATCTTATAAAGGAAAGTTGTTTAATTAAAGGCATTAAATATGAGATCTTTCTCATAAAGCAAGTTTCCAAAATAAAAGGAGTTTTTCAAATTTCGAAATAGATTTTTGTGCATCTCCTCTCACAAGGAATGTTTTATAAAGAAAAATGTTTTCCTTCAAACAAATAAAAAGCATATTGTTAATAACCTATAAGGAAACAATATTAAAATCTTTTTTCATACAAAGAGGACCAAAAATATATAAGGAGGTCCAAGTACATTAAGGATATCACATCAAGTCATGATCTATCACATTTAAGAGAACCAAGCTCAAAGGAAAAAATCCATTTTCAAGGGAAAGACACCACAAAGCAGAGTTCAGCTAACAATGAAAGCTCTTAAATGTCATAAAGCCTTAACAGCTTCTAAGCTCGTGCATAGAGAAGGGTGAGCTTGAACCGAGAAGAAAATACTCTAAGAACAGGAGTCATACACAAGGAGGCCCTAGAAGATCGAGTACCAACGACAGTTCTATTAGCGATTCAATTCCTTTTAATTCAATTATTTTTATTGTATTGGGGCTAAGAGGAACACTTGAGAATGTTTTCCTACGAGGGTTAGAGTGTGAAGTGAGAGCTTTGTTTTAAAGTTGAGACTCCTTACCCACAAGGTAAGGTTGTGAGAACTCTACGTATAAAGGTTATAGTGGGGGTGGCTCAAGTGTAAACTATGATCGTGTATCTTGTAACTTGTTTAAAGGCTTTTAGTGAAGTGTTTTTCAAATTCCTCCGAGGGAAGTCGAGGAATTTTAATCCCAGGTTGAGCCAATGAATTTTTCCTCATTAATTCTTGTGTCATTTGATTTGTATTTTCCCTTGCCCCGCACCAACTATCATTGTTCTACACCCACAATGCACCCTGATAGAGTATATGAGCCCAGACCCCATGTCCCACATACTCAAAGGATCAAAGCAGTCAAGATGGACACCTACGTGGCACTCCTTCGGCCAGATGAGCCCCTCATCGGCCAGAACTGAAACTATCCAGAATGCGGCCCGGAGGCCCAGGTGCAAAATGGGTCCTCCGTCGGTCGGGCACCTCTTCGGTCAGGGGGGTTGCCTCGGCCAGAGGGCACCTCTTCGGCCAAGAACAACCCTAACAGAATGGTTTTTTTATACTTAGTCAAATAAATCATGTACTCAGCCAATTAGAGGCCTTATTATGCACAAAAGAAGCCTCCTAAGCCCAAGGCTATGAGCCCAAATCCACATTTACTTCTATAAATAGCCCTCTAGGTGTAATTATAGGGGGTTGAGAAATATTAATTGCTCATTTTCTCTCTCTAGCTCTCACTTCTCTCTAAGGTTTAATACTCTATCACACCTTCTGTGTGATTCAACCGGTTCATCATTTTCAAATATATGTAAATTGGTCACACGTACACCTACATCATTTATTTGGACGTGTATAGATAAATACATATTTTGTTTGCCCGAACGATTAAAATAGATAACACAAACAACTATTGTCTGTGAGCATCATAAGTATCATCCATGAAGTGCACAACTAGTGCATGTGTGATAAAATCTATCAAAAAAACACATTATGGTCACATAAAACTATTGTTTGTGCACACATGCACTGTACACACAGAGATGGGTTTCATGTTAGCATTGACTTGTGCACCTGTCAGACGACTGTTAATGTACTTTTTAGCAAGAAATTAATGCATGTAGACACAAACAAGAATGGTTTGTGCATAGAGAGATCTTGCATGCGCCCACTAGTCCGTATGCAAGTGAATCAATTGTCTGTGACCGGCATTTGTGTACAAAAATGTGTAACTCTTTGTTTATACCAAGCATTTTTGAATTAACATATTCATGGCCGGTCCTAGGGGGAGGGCCACTACTAGAAAACTGGCTTATAGTGACACTTTTATAGTGACACTTTCTTAAAATTAGTGTCACTGACCAAAATTTCACGTAAAAGTGTCGGTAAGTCATGACACTGTAGTGTCAACAATAATAGTGATACAAGAAGCGAAATTTTTTACTCCGTATTTTAAAGGTTTGAGTGTTCGCGTAGAGAACGCGCTGCCTTGTGAGCAGGGAAAAAAATTTCCAACGTTTGAGGCCGCTCTAGGTTTGATCTTTAGCTCTCAGATTAATCAATTAAACTTGAAATTTCTTGTTGCTCTACGCTCGGAATTCATTACTCTTTCTTCTCCATCTAGTAGAATTGAAAGAATCTGATTTTTTAAGCTTAAACGACGGATTTTAGAGTTCCCAGATCGCATATTTACTGTTCATGCGCAGATTTCAATTTTGAATTCTGATCTGTTTTTGGACGATTGTTACAGCAAAAAGGAGTTTGTTTGGGGGTCGCCACCCTCTGGCTAACCTCCCAATACAATATTCGAAGCTTCAATCTACATAAAAGTCCAAAAACGAAGGATTTGAAGAGGAAGAGTATTGTTCATTCGCAGATTTGATTTCTTCAAATTAATCAAAATCATGTGTTCAAATCAATTTCTGAAGCCAGATTGGAGACCGTCTTGCTGAAACAAAGCTAAGGACACCTCTTTTGGCTCCTATAAGCTTCAACTCAGGTTTCTCCCTAATTCTTGGCTACTGTTGACTGCACGCAGTTTTCCTCTGCTTCTTTAAATTCTGGGAATTATTGGGGCCTGTTCTGGGAATACGAATTGCACCAGTAGCTTCGTATTTTAAAGGGGAACATAGCAGATTTTTTCAGAATTTTCTGAGTATTTTTCTGAAAAAGGTTACTGTTCATTTCCTACTACCTTGGGCTGACTGCTACAGTGATTCATGGAACTAAATACAAGTTAGGATTTTTTCTGGATTCCATGCTTGTCCATTCTTCAAAAGGAAGATACTAGGTTGTTCATCATTCTAAGGGGCATCTTTGAGAGTTTTCCTGGACTATTCTGACCATGTTCAAGTGAGGAACGTAATGTTCATCTTCTTCCCCAATGACTAGGAAGAATAAACAGTCACGCACCCCTCTTTTGCAGTAGCTCTAAAGAGAAAAGCAGGTATTTTTTAATTTCATTCTACTTTGTGTTTATGTCATTTTTTGCTGATATGAGCTTGATTCAGGCTGGAGTATCTTCGGTGATAGTAGCTCTAGCTAGCCATTTTATTTGAATCAGCGGCGGATCTACTAAGCCAAGAGGGGGGCAGCTGCCCCCAACAAAGTCCCACTAGACTCTTAAAAATGTTTACTGAGTATAGGGATTAATCTATTTTCTTCTTCTCTTGAAGGCTGTCCGCAAAGATCGAGGAGGAAGGGCATGCAGTCGGGGCAAAATCTCTGGCGTCAAGGTGGCCTAGAGCTGGTAATATGCTTCCGTAATCTCACAGGATATGTATCTGATCCGTTAGATGATCCAATACGACCTACTCGTTTATTGGTATATGTTTATATGATCCGTTAGATGATCCAATATGACCTACTCGTTTATTGGTATATGTCTAATTTTTCTAATATGACCTACTCGTTTATAGATACAAGGTATTTGACTTGACTAATACGATTTTATACTCTATATCAGATACAAATGTCGAGGAGATTACACTGAGGTAAGTTCACTACAAATCTACAATCCCTCAAGTGTGTATATGAATGCTCTTAGGATACTGACATATTCCTTCCATTTGGATATAGCTTTTAGTATTTGATATGTTTAACTTGTTGGGGAGGGGGCATTTGGTTTTTGTGGACTCCTCTAGATGATATGTGACTGTTTTGTGTTGGGGATTCATTTTAAAATAAGTCTGAGAGACATAAATTTGTGCTAATCTTTTTTTATTCTGAAATTTCCGTCTATTTTTTTCCAATTTGGGCAGGACTTACCCCCACTCTTGAACTTAAAAAAATAAGGACAAACATTTCAGGCTTCATTAAGAATACAAGGGCAGTTGGAGACTTGGATGTGTTTATTCTTCAATTGTCTGTGTGCCAACATAGGTAGTTGCGAGCTGACAACTTTAGCCTTTTCATCTTGCATTGACTCTAGCTCATGCTACTAAAAATTCACAGGTAGTCAAGCAAAGGATACAGACTGAGCAATTTGCTTCTGCCCCTGATCATTTCTAAAGAAGGTTTTAGAGGCATGTATGTAGTAAATAATGATGCCTGATTCTTTTTTGTAACCTTTTTAATATAAATATATTTGAACCTCTTATGCTTGGGATTTCTATTTCTTTTCATGGGCAGGGATATGGCTCCTTTCTACTGAGAGACTTATCTTTTGATGCTATGCAGGTTTGTACATATGAACAACTTTGTACTTGGGAGCCATGTATAAGTCTTTTATACTACGTATAGGAATAAAAGGTACTTGCAGGTTTCTTTTTTTGCACATATATTTTTAAAGGGCAGAGGATATATTTTCAATTATTTGCTTACATAATATATATGTCTCTATATAGGCAAATATAGGTTACATTCAAAACTATGTTTTCCATGTCCAGAACTGCTCCTCTTTCCTGATTTCCCATTTCAAATTTGCTGATTTTTTAACCATAAAAGTAGAATAGCAAGAATGTAAATATGAATAGAGGGAGTATCAATGTATCATACTCTTGTTTAAATAGCAAATCTACTTTTGTCTCCTACAGAACATCAAAGTAGTTGGTGACGATGTCGTATAAGTGGTTGAAAGAGCTGCTTTAGAGGTTTGCTCTATTAGTTATCTTTATGTTGGTCAATTTACTTTCTTTCTAATGTGGATTGTATGTGTTGCTTTTTTTAGCGTGCGATATGTTTCGTGATATCTTTGTTGAGTTGTTTATCGACGAGTACACAAATCTAAAACACATGACAGTGTTTTGTACCGTTT